CCCTTCGGAGCATACATCGCACAGGCGCCGTCGTACGCCGGACCAACGGTAAATCATAACATCAACTAGTTTCTGGAAAGGCGGCGGGGAAAGGAGCATCCATACGCGCACGCAATTAGACCCCCGCCGTGAGATGCGTCGGTGGCTGTGAGGCAGGTGGGGACATGCCTGGGAGGCTGAAAGGGCTTCCGGACGCATAAATCGCACCAGGCGCCGTCGTACGCCGGACCAACGATGCATCATAACATCAACTAGTTGCTAGAAAGGCGGCAGGAAAGGACCATCCATACGCGCACGCAATTAGACCCCCGCCGTGAGATGCGTCGGTGGCTGTGAGGCAGGTGGGGACATGCCTGGAGGCTGAAAAGGCTTCCGGACGCATAAATCGCACCAGGCGCCGTCGTACGCCGGACCAACGGTAAATCATAACATCAACTAGTTTCTGGAAAGGCGGCGGGGAAAGGAGCATCCATACGCGCATGCAATTAGACCCCCGCCGTGAGATGCGTCGGTGCCTGTGAGGCAGGCGAGGACATGCCTGGGAGGCTGAAACAACAATACACCGCTGAGTCCATTCAGTCGTGCCATTCAGTCGCTGCCTCCAATGCCCTCCCAGCCCTGACCGCCTTACGGGGGTAAAAGTTGTCCCCAGATGTCCCCTGATGATGAATTTGGGCGGCATGCACTGGGAGACGTCGGAGACGTCGGACATGAGCCGAGCAGCTTTTTGCTGGTTGTCGTTCCCAGACCTGCCCCAATCGCCGATGACGTAGAAGACCAGGTCTGTCTTGCTGGGGTCGTAGCTGCGTGGACAAACATAGTCTAGCTTCCGGCGGCTTAAGCCCCATGCGAGGCCGATAATGAGCGCCACTAGGCCGAGGGAGCCAATCGCGATTAGCACGCCGACAAAAACCTTTCGTTCCCTCAGCTGGTGCTCGTATGTATTTCGCGAGCGCCCAGCCTTCTCTACGCCGCTGATGAAGAAGCGCTCCTCCTCTTCTAGGTCAAATCCGGTGCGCAGAGCTTGCGACCCCATCTTCCAGGAGACAAGCACGCTTTAGTCCGGTTAGCGCATTCTTAAAGAAAGAATGTATTCGGATTGTTTTTGCCTTGGGACGGTTGGCAGCGCTGCCTCTACGGTGGAAACAGCAAACTTTGCTTTAAGGAGAAATATTCCAACATGCAGCTGGGCGCTCCAAGCCAACAAAACGGTAAGCAACCCCAGCTGCAGTTTGCTGGGGTATTGCTCGCTAGTAGATACCACAATGCATGGTTGGTGTCTTTCCTCGAGCGGTTAACTGTTTTGCACGAACGGCAACGAACCATTTCCTTTGTTGAACTATGTGGCGA